ACACACACACACACACACACACACACACACACACACACACACACACACACACACACACACACTCCCTAGGGTTCTGTTGTGGCTGCGGCAAGAAGCGCCAGCTGTCCATATCAACAACTCCCCCAACACTCATACACACAAGGTGTTTTTGTCAGACTAGCCTGCAATCTCACTGTGTTATACATATTATACACTGCTCGCCTTCTAAGACGACATGATTCAATCTCATCATTATCGTAGGGTTGGCTGTGGCAGCCATGTTGTGTGACATAAACTGCGGTACAAGGGCAGAAGGAGTGGAGTGGAGGGAGGGGGGGGCCAGGTGGTTTCCATTAGCTCTCTCCATTTCAAACAGACTAACCAGCCGGTCAGTTAGGAAGGAAGGAGACATGCTATGGCAGCCAGCCGCCTGCAGCGCCAAGCAGAGTCCTGCTGCAGTGGAGAGCCGGGATCAGCAATGTGGACATTATTGTGTCTTTGTGTGTTGCAGGAGTGTGCTTTTTTACAGATAGGAACTGGCTCTATGACTGCTAAAAGCATGCCTTGTATATGCGTTGGTGTGTGCATGTATATAAGTCAAAGTACACTTGTGAGCGTGCAGAAATAGTGGTTATCAGTGACCTGTGCATGCGCATGTTCTTGCTTCTAGGGTGTCTCCTATTGATCCCTCTATGACAGTGTGTATAATCTCCAGAGAGAGGATCTATACTCTGGGGCGGGGTGGTGGACGAGTGTGGAGAACAGGCTGTGGAAGGGTTTTTGTCGGGGCCTGGGGAAAAAGGTGAGAGCTCAGCCACAGGACACAGATCGATTTGGCATGTCTGTTTGCACTGTTCACCCCAGCAGCCCACCACACCAGTGGCCTGGGACAAAGTCCCCCGGCCACCGCCGCAGACACACTCCTCCATCCTTTTTTTTTTTTAAGCACTGGCCCGACTGCACACCCATCCAATCGATGTGCACTAAGCCGCCTGAACCCATCTTCGAGGGATAGAGAGGCTGAGCAGAGAGATTGGGAGGTGGCTGCAGATTGGGAGTGTGCAGACGGCTTCACTACTGGCTTACCTATTATGTCTTATGTGATGACACGGGCCTGTATGTTTTTCTAAAGCTCCCTGTGTCAAAAGCAATCAAAACAGCATTTTTGGTTCACAAATTCTTTCTGATTCTGCCCCTCTTACCGTCACCGAGTTCTTCTCTCTCCCCATGTCTGGGGCGGAGTAAATCCCTCTCCAGGGGTGGTTAGTTTTACATATTGTGTGTCACTAGACGGATATAAAAGGATTTAACATTTAGTAAAGCATAATCCATCGCAGGCTTTGTGCCTGCCTAAGCTGCACGCATCAAATCTGATTGCAAGAAGGCTGCTACCAATGACCAAGCAGGAGGAGGAAAACACGCACTACACACACACACACACGGCTTATCACTTGAACAATGAGCAGAGGAGACAGCAGGAGGTCAGTTGCTGAGGTGGAGGATCTTCTACATTGACAATAGGAGGTAAATTACAAACTAGTGTACTGGTGCTGGGGCCACCGCCTACCCAATCCTGGCTCATCCCTAATCTAAACCAATCTAACAGCAGCAGTCTCTGCGGAGGGAGGGCAGGTTGTGATACTCGAGCCGCTCTGTTCTCGACCTGTCAAACTAATTGAGGGAGAAGACAGGAAACATAAATATTCCCCATCAACCAGACACTGGCTGTGCTTGTGCACTCGGATGTGGAAATATAAATATTCGGCAGGGCTAATCCACTGAGACAGTCGACTTTGTTTATGTGCCTTTTGAATGTTTCATTGATGTGACTGACTGCTTCCGTCCCCCTCTCTCTCTGTCTCTACCCCCCCCCCCCCCTCCCTCTCCGCATGGTTAAGTATAAGACAAAGCGCTGGTGCTCTCTCTATTAAACATGAAATGCGGCGCAAAAAATGCTTGAATGGAGTCTGTTGCTGAGAGTTAGAGAAACAGAAATAGAGAGTGAGCAACAACGAGACTTGGGTTAATGCTTTCTAGAGGTACTCGTACTGATACCGGTGCAGACAGAGATAATTTGGCCGACAAGATTACGCAGCTAGACGGTAAGTGTAGGGTGGAGAGGTCTGGCTGTTTCACTGCACCTACTTGAAGTTGTCTCTTTGGTATTTGAAAAGGAAAAAAAGGGAGGGAGTGTTTGGGTGGATGTGTTTATGGGCAGGTAGTTGGAGAAGTCAACAATAATGCAATGACAATAACATACTGGTTGTAATTTCCTACAACCCCCCCTCCTCACACTACTTGACCTTTTGCTAGCTGCTAGATAAACGAAAAGACACGGGCGGCAATGATTCAGTTTGCAATGCGGATAGCAGCGAGCAGTAGCTGAGAGCACACCACTACTACTACTACTACTACACACACACACACACACACACACACACACACACACAACTAGCTGGTCTGGCTTCCTTCCCGACAGTGAGTGTTGACCTCCCCCCCCTCTAACACAACCAATTTCTAAACAGTAGGTGAAAGAGAGGCCATGTTTACAGCTGCGGAAAAGGTTGGTTCTCCTTTTAGCCTTGTGCATCAGACGGAATAAAAACACGCTGCAGCATAGCTCAAACATCTCTACAGGAAACCAGAGTATCTTTCGGCCCCGGAGGAGATAGCATACATTCAGGGAGTAAGACGGTGTTGGGATGAAATCATTATCGTGGCTGTCGTCACTATCACATCATCCAGTGAAGCACCACTTTGCTTTATTGACTTAAGCCAAGACAAAGCACAGAGTGGGTCAACTTGGAATTGATTGTATGACATATTGGCCTCTAGCCTGAGGAAGTACTTCTGCTGTTAGAGAGTTGCTACTCTGCAATCCCTCAGCAGCGTATTGCAACAGAGACGACCGCTTCTTTATGAACAAAGGAATTCATCTTTGATTCAGTCAAAATGTGTCTCAATTCTTCCCCCAAAACAGCTGATTGACAACAAAGTGGGATATAGTGATTGTGATGTTAAACTGGGAAATTGATTCATGGAGATGGAATAGTGTTCACCGCAGTTGGGGACCATGCAGATGAGTGCAGCCCACCCGCATACCCACTTAATTAGCCGTGACTAGGACTTACCTCCGGGTCTGTAAACAACATCGTCTTCCGTGATGAAGGATGTGATTTCTCCGTTCTCCGTGCGCTCGTAGCGCGACTTCCTCTTGGGCATCTTCTTCTTGCCCTTCTTGCCGGCCTCCTCCGCCGTGCCGCTTCCTCCGCCCGTGCTGCCGTTGTCGTTATCCTCGTCCTCGCTGTGGTCGCTCTCGGCATAGTTCTTGGCCCCGCCCTCCAGCGTACAGCTGCGCCGGGGCCTGGAGCTCTCGCTCTCCCCATCCTGCCGGCGGGACTTACCGGACGACTCTCTCTTGTCCCGGTCCCTGTCTCTGTCCCTGTCCCGCTCTTTCTCCCTCTCCTTCTCTTTGTCGGCCGTCATGATCCGCCACGTGCCTTCCTCAGTCCTCTCACGGCTGGGCCTCCGTGAAAGGTAGACTGTGAGCCTGGGCTTCAGTCTTCTGAATTTACCAGTCAAATCCAGGGAAAATTTGGCCACACCAACAACCCCAGTGTTTCAGAAAAGCTGTGGACAAGAGAAGAGGGACAATTAGCATAACTCATTATCCTTATAGTAAGGAAGCAACATTTTCTCAGTAAAAAGGTTTTTTTTGTGCTGGAGGAGATCTTTTGTGGGGGAGAAAAACAAGATTAGTTCCTGGAGATCAGGCAGCTGTGCTGACTCTTCTCAACATCACAGTAATTGTTGGCACTCCCCTCCACGACCATGTATACTCTGGAGAGCACTGAGTAGCTTTATCAAAGAACAGAACCTCCTTGCTTCCTGCTCAAGCATATTTTCATTCTTTCAGAAAGGCAGTAAAACGGAGTTATTAAAGGGCAAAAGAGTGGAAAGAGAGAGAGAGAGAGAGAGAGAGAGAGAGAATGACAAGTGCTACATGCACAGTATTTGTAACACAATAAGCTTAAGGGGAGTCGTAACTGAATACGCATAGAGAGGTAGTGCTGCATTGAGGATCAGGCTGGCAGCCAATAGAATTCCTCGGAGATAATGTGTCGAGGGGCTTTTCGGCACAAGACGCTGCTTGTCGCCTTCAATGGGAGAGAAGCAGCATAAAACTCAACGACGGCGTTAACTGACTAGCTTTTCTGCAGACCATCTGTGATGACACAAGGCTGAATTTTACTCATCTGTGTGTGGCAGTGTGTGTGTGTGTACTCTGGCTTATTGGACAGCACCCCAACCCTCTGCCCGTCACTGCTGTGTTAATGTGAAGTGACAGCTCTGGAGGGAAGAACACAGCAATCCACTGGGTAAGGAGAGGCAGAGGAGAGAGGCTGAGCCAGTCATTTGCCGTGCCGGGTCCACTGCCAGTTTCTACTGTTGTTCACTCAAAAAGGAAACCCAGCTCCCACTTCCTCATGCCATAATGAAATCCTCCGTAAACAGTGAAGTGGGCAAAAGCTGAAGCAGCACGCCGTCTGCACCACACTGCCACTACACACTGCGCCTACAAAGGAGGCTTCTCATTTACTGCCAGTGTTTACACCCCCCCCACTGCAACAAATTAACTAGAAATAGTTATTACAGCCCCCAGAGGGAACAGACCAGGCAATCAGCGCCCGCGTTACCATGGTGGTGATAGCAGGGTGGGAGAGGGAGAGTGAAAAATTAGGAAGGGGAAGAGGAGATGGAGCCAGGTGAAGCAGACTCCGCTTCGAGTGGAAATTATACAGCGTGTCTGCAAGGGGACGTGCGTTTATTGTAAAGGCTGGAGAGAGAATGGGATGTAAAGAGTAGAAGGAAAGAGGAAGGTGGAGAGGGTTTTAGCATGCACACACACACACACACACACACACAGAAGCGTGTTTGACAACGGCGCTCCTCAGCAGCGGGTGCTGTCATCTCACGAGCAGACACCAACTGACAGGGCAGCTGCTCTTGTCGTCGGCTTCAACACAAACACCGGGCCTGATTAAACCGCAGCCTCGTCACAGCCCCATTAATCACCTAATGATGAGTTACCACGGCGACCACTGGGCCGCCAGCGCACGCATATGCAGGAAGCATATTAGTGCGCAACACAGAGGACGCAAGGGCTCAGGAAAGGACACGCACACCTCGATGCGGTTACACACCTCTGTCGGTGTGTGCCAAAATACATACTGTGCCCCCCCTCCTGTGTCCATATCCAGCAGCATGACTCGGAGGTGTGAGGAACATGAAAACATTGATGAAGGTACCATTTGATTGCACGGCTCTAAAACCGGGGAGCTGCCACAATCCGTGTGTGAGCTAAGCAGCACTACTCCCCTCTAATCAGTAACATAAGCCTCTTCCAGCGAGAGCAACGAGGACCCTGAACTGTTGCAAATGGAGGGCCGGCCCGTTCTCCTTTGATGTCGTGGGCCGCTGTAAGCCTCTATAAGTATCTTAACAATCTAGGTGCTATTAGCTCACATCTGGATACACTTTACACACAACTGCCTCATTCAAATTTCTGGATCTCCAATTACATAGTTGTATTTATTCATAAAAAACTCCCCGTACGGACATGCGCTTACTCTTAATTAGTGTTCAAACTTTCACTAGTCACTCGCTTAACAATACGTCTACGGTTCATTTGTTGCACATCAGCAGCTGCAGATACATGAGCAATCTGAAGTCGAACAAATTGAGTGAGTAAAAAAAAAAAAAAAAGGTGCGATTTAGTGTGAAGTAGCGCCACCGTGGCAATGAAAAGTCATAATGTATTGATGGCTGACAGGGAAGAGAGCGAGAGCGAGAAGGCTCTCCACCCACAGCCCGAGAAACAAAGTGCTCAGTAGAAAAGCAGCGCCGGCTGCCTGGCCGATGAATAACACTGTGAGGGGGCAGGTGAGGCTCGGAGCTATTACACATCAATCACTGGGCCGGGACCCTTTGAAAGATACCAGCTGTCTTAATGGAAAAGAGAAGGGGGGGGAGGGGGGGAGAGAGAGCAGTGGCTGGAGAGGTGGTTGAGGGCGTCCCAGCCAACGTCACCTAATCCACCATTTACATTACTGCAATGGAGTCAAGCACTAGCAGCCAGCGGGGCCCTGCTCAAATACATTTCTCTTTTCAGAGGCGGTAGAAATGAGACCTCTGGCCCGAAAAACCACACAGTTTGTGGCTCGATTAACACAGCATCCCCCACAATGGCCACACAGCAGGTTTCTGTTACTAAACACAGCTTCTTTTTGGTTGTTTTTCCGCTCCCGAACAGCCTTTTAAAAAAAGAAATTCCATGTTTTATTCATTCTAATCACTCTCACATTTACCCAAATCCTCATCTCTGTAGTTTTAAATTAAAACATGTCTACGGATAAACATCCAAATTAACACGCTTTGCTTGAGTACCTATAAAGCTGTAGGGTTTCTTTTTTTTATCCCGCCAAATTTTTTTAATTGAATATCTTGGATTTAAAATTCGCAAACGCTGGACATTTTATTCATACAGCATTTTTATTTTAAATAATGGAGAAACTAGAATTTTCTACATTTAAATGCACAATTGAAAATAAAGACAATATAACCAGCACAGTGATCCGCTCAGTTTTGGGAGAGAGAGAGAGAGAGACGGAAAAAAAGTCATTCATGGCATATTCAATTGGAGAATTATGAAGTAGCAAAATGTGATTGACAAGGATTTAGGGCCGGCTTTGCGGAGGGATTGAACGAAATACTCGCGTGAATACAGATTAGAGAACAACGTTAGCATGAATATACACAGGGTTATTAACAACGAGGGCAACTCAAATTGATCCGAATAAAGCAGCCAGATCCTCGGCAGTGGACGGATCCTAGCTGCGGTGATGCGGAGCTGCAGCGGGTTTTCTTCAGCTCCAATCCATTACTCGGTGCGATCTAATCTAAGCTGCCATCCAAAGGCCCCTAGAAACAACAGCACAATGAAAGGCTCAGCTGGAGGCGAGGGGGAGACCACTTCATAAGGGATTCTCTGTGGTCTCTGCACGCCGCCTGCTTTGTCTTACCTGGTGCAATCACGGCTTGCTTTATTCTCCGAGGCCCTCTCTGTTTTAGCTCACATTGGCAGGGCAGAGACACTTGTCTGCTCCACTTGTTTTTCAATTCACTGATGAGTAACCGCATCTTTTTTTTTTTCTCTGCTAAAGCTGTGCTCACAAAAGGCTCTATTTTTAGTCGGCATCCGGGGTTAGTTTAGTAGGTAAAAGCCGTGCTCGAGAAAAGATAGCTTGGGGCTTTCCAACATTTAAGCTTGCCTTGAGACTCCAACGGTAAAAAGGCTGCTGCACAAGAGCAGATTCTTATGCAAAATGACACCGTGTGCAACATTAAACTATCACTGTCTCAAAACATTAAGAGAATCTACTAAATCTTCCAGCATAGACTACCGTCTTTCTGTAACGTAAACTGACATCCACAAAGACAAACATATCCTCTGTCCAACAGTCCACAGGTACTTTCCTCCACAGACATGAGGATCAGACTGTGTGCTCCACGGGGCCTAAGCCTCTACTCCATCTAGTCAAAAAAATCCTCCTCTAGTCCCCGAATAGGCCCTGAGGGGGCGGCTCCACAGCCCGAGATGTCCATTATGTACAGGGTCTGTGACCAGGACTTCATTTCGCAGCCTTAATACCAGTTACTTCCAGACACGGTCTCCCTCTCGGTCGGCCACGTTTTTGTCGGGCTGAAGGCTATTTCGGCAGCTCCGACTGCTTCGCCGGGCGTCGTGTTTAGACACGGCTCCTGAGGGAAATGCCAGGGTTGTCCATTGTCACCCTTTTCCCCTCTTCCTCTACACGAGGCACTCTTGAGAAATTAATAATTGTGAGCGGGGCCGGTAATGGACCTCTCCCAATGTGTCATTGATAAGAGCAGCAGGGGAATGTGAGGTATGTGGCGGAAGGCACAGCGCTATCATGAATGTGTCTCTTGATTGAGTTCCCCTGTAGATTTGTGGGCCGTGTGAATAAAGTGCCTGATTTGAAAGGATTTCTTGTGTCTTTCACCTCTCGAGAGGCACTGACGATTCATTTTTTCATGAATTATGCTGTTCTAATGGAAATGTACCCAAAGGTAGAACTGAGGTCAGGAGAGGTATAAATATGCACTGGGGACACATCCAACCCTGACTTGCACTTAAAATTATTGGTGTCATATGTGTGTCTTCAAACATGTATCTCTATAAAAATGGAGCAGAGCTGTAAAGGGGGGGGGGGGTTACATGACACTTTCATGTCAGATGTGCATAGAAAAAAAAGATTTTTTTCATCTGTTAGAATAAAAGGACTCTTGAGAATTTTAATATTTGCGCACTCAATCATGCACCACTTGCACTGATATCCTACAATCCCCCCCCCCCCCCCCCCCCTCTTCCTCCAAGATCAGCTCAACGATTGCATCCATCAGGATGAGGAGGTGAGGAGGAAATGTATTCATACGGTTGCCCTACATCCTCCAGCTACTCTAATCACCGTGCCACACAGAGTGGTGTGCCAACACAGAGGAAGAACTAACATAAATAGATGAGAGCGACAGATAAGAAAAGCTCTGAG